GCAAAAAAAAAATTATCAGAGAAATAAAATGAGTTTTTCACTTCCAATAAGATAAGGAGAAATACAACACTGCAAGAAGGTGGATACAGACTTGAAAGCTCATGAGACAGCTGAGGCTCTGCCCAGAGACTTCAGACCTTTAACAGTAACAGCTACACAAAGGCAGTGTCCATAGCCTTACCTGGATGTTGGCAATGTACCTGTCCCATGTGCAGAATTGGAGGAATTGCAGTTTATTTTTGGTCAAAATTCACTAATAATGACAGGGACATTTTCTAAAGGGCTTTCATGAGATTTTACGTGAAACATTCATATGTATTATGAAGTAGCAGCATCTGCTATTGATGTGGAAATTCAGTCTTTGAATCAGGAAGTCTCAGACTGATGGAAGCCAAGAGGATCTATGGCCAGAAGTATTTCTGCATGCTTGCCCACACACCAGCTACCGGCCACTTGTGCAGTTTAGATGACAGTTACTTGGCTTGATGTATCAGATTCCTACATAATTGCTGTCCTTCACCAGCAGCTATCACCCTACGACCCCTATCACAACCACAAGTCGATCTCCTCCCTTTTATTTCTTGGAACGGCCATGTGTTAACCAATGCCCTTGTTACCCTTCCAGAGGAAACTCTGAGCTTCTGGGCTTTCATCCTTTCATCTATTTTGAAGAGCAGAGTATTTAGGTTATATAATTTGAGAGGGTTTTGAGACCAGAGAAGGATATTTGAACTTATATCATCATTATTAATACTGGCACTTTAATCAGCATCAAGGTCTCAGTATACTAAGGCAATTACATATATATATATATAAAACAAAACAAAAAACACATTAAATTAACAGTAATAATAAGGTATGAAAGATAATGCAGGTATCTTCCAGATTAATTCTTACCCCAGCTGAATCTCCAGTTACCACTGTAATACTACAAGGACTCTAAACTAGTTTCTTATCTCCCATCTTCTCTGATGATTCAACCTGGAAATATTTGTGATGTCTGCTGAAACCTATCCTTAGTATGTATTTTCTTAATGACATCTTATAAAAAAGAAATCCAGATTCTAACTGAGAAACTCATCACTTTATCTACTGGGACAAGAAAAACCTAAAAACATTTGGTCGTATCTTCTACAATCAAAGTACTTGGGGATATTCAAAATGTAGGAGTTTTTCAAGTTTATTTCCTTAAATAATAAGTTTAAATAATATGTTTAAATACTAAGTTCAAATAATAAGTTTATATTTTAATTAACTATGTTTTCATACAATTAGTTGATTTTAATAAATTCATACTAATTAGATGCTACTTAGACATATTTTATTCATTACTAATATAATTTAATACAAATATTGTACTGAAAAGTATTTTCATGGTTAATTTTGCATCAGTAGTACATGCATATATATTTGTATCAATTAAAATTCCTGGATTATATTTCAAATATGTTATTTAAAGACATTGCATGGTGCACATCTTTGCAAAACAGATGTGTAAATTAACACTTCAGAGGGAAACACAAATATTTCCAGGCTGAATCATCAGCAAAGATGTGAAACAGAACAAGACAGTTGACTAGTTCTTGCGGTTCATCAATAGCAATGCTGTACAAAAGACAAATTCATCTGGAAGAAGGATATATCATCTTCTCCTATACCTTAAATAAATACCATATAGGAATTTAATTAATACTAGAAAGAAACTTGGTTAGAGCAAATAAGACATTTTTAAAGGCCTACAGACATTCTCAAAGAATGTCATAATTCTGTAATTATGATTGTCATAATCAGTAATCACTGTCTGGTCATACAGAAAGAAAGAACACGCATTCTGATTCTCAGCCTATAAATCTGGGCAGCATTTAAAAGTTATTTTCTATCAAATGCAAATTTGATATCCAGCACTGCTAGAATAAAGGTATAACACAATATTTTACAAAATTTCAGGAGCAAGCTCTTGCAAGATTCAGTGAAAACTGTGAGAAGTTCAGAATTCTAAAAGAAAAGCAATACGCTGCAACAGAAACAGCTTGGTGGCTTGCTATTGTTACTTATATTAGTTTCAAGATTGCATTAGTATCTGTTGTTTGCTGTTTGATATTGTGATATAGAGAGGCTGAGAGGGGAATATATAAAATTATTGTCTACTTGCTATTTTTGCACAAATGAAAACCATCTAACTGCAACAAATACCCAAGTATCAAATATACTAAAGAAAATTCTTAATTACTCTTGTGTATTAACCCTATAACCTGCTAAAATATTGCTTGAAAGTAACCAAACTGGCTTTTATTTTCTTCATCAAGAATTTCAGAATCTACAATCTGTTTAACTGATCATTAGATAGCTGCCTCCTCATGGGACATCAAGAGAGGGAGTTCAGAGAAATCCCAAGGAGCAGGAGTGAACTACCTGGCAAGGAAAACTGGCAATAATTAAGAGAGGCAGCAGGGAACAGTGCAGCATCTGAGGCTTCCTGGGGAAGTCTGACAGGACAGTGTGATGACCTCTATACACCTAGGAAAAATTTTGAGAGAAAATGGGGGTAAATGGTCCACCATCTCAATCTGTAATACAGAAGATGGCCAATATGTTTGGCCCTGGGAGCTTCAGAGAAGCACAGGCAAGAGTCACTTGTACTCAGTCTGTGCTGGGTAAACTCTGCTACGGGTAGTTCCATTAATTAAAGCTCAGAAAACAGTCCAGAAACATGCCACCGTGTGTGTGTGTCTTCTGGCACAGGAACAGTACAGATTTCTGCTTTTCACCTTCAAAGGGGAACATGTCACAACATGTGCAACTCTGTTCATGTGCTTATTTAAATTGTGCAGCAAAGTATATGACAAAGTCAAAACAACTTTATACCACTGTTGCCCTTCCTGTAACCTATTAAGACACCGATCAGGGAAACAGGGGACACCATATACCCTCCTTTAGATTTGTGGATTTAAAGCATTTTGGGGTTTTTTACTTATTTTTTTCAATACTGAATTTCTTAATATGCTTTTGTGAACACAAAACCTTCTCAACGTATTTACTCAGTATCTGCAAATTTAAGTAGCTAAACTGAAACAGCACTGGAGGAATCTGCAGCCTCTAGATAAGCCCTGATGGCACACTTCATTCGAAAGCCACTGCTAATAATTTAGCAAGACATTTCTGTAAAATGGGCTAAATAATTTACTTATTTGGCATATGAGCAATAATGATAGGAAAATATTTTTCATACAAACAGTTCAACTTAGGAAATGTTTTGGCAGTCAGAGCAAACTTGCAAAACAAGTCACAAACAAAGCCCTCATCTTGGTTTAAAACACCTCTGAATTGTGGCTTACTTAGAGAGCAGCCCACATTCTGCCCCTACTCACACTCATGTTTGAAGTGAAGTACAAGAGCAAAGTGTTCTCATAAAGGACCTGTGGAAGTTTTTGGTACAGTTTCTCTCTCAGTCCCATTTGAGCCTTAGAAAATTTTACACAAGTTAGTAAAAAGTATTTTTAGCAGCAAGTAAAATTTATGACCCTTGTGGTACTTAACATTTATCTTCCCCACAACAAATTCCTTCTTCTCCAGAGCACACTGTCATCTTTTCACCTTCAAATGGGAACATGTCACAACATGTGCAACTCTGTCCATGTGCTTATTTAAACTGTGCAGCAAAGTATATGACAAAGTCAAAACAACTTTATACCACCGATGCCCTTCCTGTAACCTAATAAGACGCCCATCAGGGAAACAGGAGACACCATTTTTGCCTACAAAAGTAGGCAAAGTATTTTGCCTACAACTAAATCAGAACACTTTATCTTTTAAAGTGTAGGGTGGTGGTCTTCTGTTCAGTAAAAAAGTAATGCCGGGGGGGTGGCAAAAATTTTATATTACATTTGGAAACTTACTTGCACAAGACTGCCTTTATGTTTAAAATTTCTACAAACGCAGTCACATGCAGCTCAGCTACATATTTGGCAGTCTAAGTTTCTTCTCTTTTTTTCTTAAGTTCTGGCCATCTGCTTTAATGACACTGCTCTAGTACCTAGTACCACTTTCATTATAGTTTTAGTAAACTGCTCCCTTTCCACACATCACTCAAAGTACAAAGGAATAAGGAAAACTGCTACAGAAGACCACTTTATTCATCCATCCTTTGCAATGTAGAAAAACTCTTACAGGTGAGTTGTCCTGGGGCAATTCAATTCTTAAATCACATTATTTTCCTTTCCAAATCATACCGAGGTGAATTTGGTGAACATCTGACTTGCAACTTAACTTATATTTCTCATTTCAGCATCATTCCCGCTGCACACATTTCCTCTATGGGTTCCCCACAGCAAAACAATGCTTTCCTGCAAGAGCCATCTTCCTGCCTACAACTTTTTGGGTATGAGTCAACTGAATATTTACAGTTATGAAATACAAGTCTATAATGCAGTGAAATAAGATAATCTAGGTTGTCTGGAAGCCAAGACACTTTACTTCCAGTTCCTTAAGAGAAAGAATAAAATAGCATCTAATCAATTCCTTTCAATTTCTCATTAGAATTTTTAAAGAAACTGACTAGAAGAATCCTCTGACAATATCACGTAAATGTTATTTAAAAGAGTATGTTTTCACTGTTCCATGCTTGTGCCTCAGATGTACTCATTAACTCTATTTGCTTACTTTGCCTTAAAAAACATCTGTTTATTTACCCATTTGTGCAAGCACAGCAAAGGCTACAACAATACAAAGGAAGAAAAAAATATAAATTTGCAAGCATCATTGAAGACATCAAATCTAAATCAGATCTATTTTACACAATATTGTTATTTAATCTCCACATATTCTCAAGCTTTCAAAAAGTTGAGAATAACCTTAGGAAAGTGTCCTTTTTAGGAAAGACCCTAATCACCAGAAGTCTTTCAGAAGCACTTTTTCTCCTACAACTCCTACTGAAAATTAATTTGAAATTTTGAGAAAACATCTCAAAACTAGACAAACATATATGTCATTCAATTATGTACCTTACTAAATTTTTCCATGTCTTGATAGTATCCTGCTGCCTTTTTCTGCTCCTTGGTCACTTCTGAAACAAGCCTCATGATAGTTTCTCTACTAGCTTTGGACTCCATCTCATGGACTTTTATAGCTTCTTGAAGAGTAGCAATGTGGTCTTTTAGTGTCAGGTTTTCTTTACATATTTCTGAGACCTAGAGAAATAATTCAAATTTTAGTAACTTTTTGAAAGCACTTAACAATGACATATATTCATTCCAGTATACCTGCTCCTAATCATCCTAATAAAGATATGGTGTTTCTGGTGACCCCTAGGTCAGATTTATAACAGCACTCTACTATTTCTTTCTAAAAAGAACAGAAAGACAAGTAAAATGAGAACCATATTCCCACCAGAAACCCACACCTTAGTGTTATGTGGTACTGTTTTACTCCCACACAATCTCCATGATCTATTAAACAGGTGGAGAGCTACTATCACTGTGTATGAAACAGGTCAGAAAATGAAAACAGATCATGTAACTAACTTCATGCAAAAAGCAGAGCATTTCAGTTTGGCTTGTTAAGATTTATGTGTCTCATCTGTAACAAGAAACTGAAAGCTGTATTTTATGCTTGAAACTTTTTAGGCATGGGGAGAGTTGAGTTAATAACAGCTATTTCATAAGCATATGCAAGGGCAGAGCTAAATACCTGGTGGGCTGCTGTTCTGAGCAGTAAACACCTTGGAAAAATCAGTCCTTTCCAGGAGGATTCTAGGGCTGTTTCGGTACGTTACGCTATTTCCAAGAAGTGGAATAGATGAGTGTGGGCACTTCAAAGAGTGTATAAGGTAAAAAAAATATGTACTCTGACTCCTACTGGTAAGACCTTTATTAAGGCAGATCAATTCTGTCTTAAATAAAACCATAATGTGGAAAAGAAGCTAAACAGACATACTGTGACCCCAAACAGAAAAATGAGTTGATAAGTCTTCCTAATGCAGTTTTCAGCACAAATTAGATTTCCCAAATAGATTTATTACTACATTGTTAAAACTAACTGTCAACATATACTTGTTATGTTGGGCAACGTTATGAGGGCAAGGACTGTAAGAAATCACTGTGATACAAACCTAGATAATCTTAATTTATTAAATATTCCTTGTAGCCAGAACTCTTATAATAATATGAATATAATGAAACCAAAATTCCCAAAATATCTAGTATGCTCCCAAGTGAAGAAAAATAGGGATAGCAAAGACTAGACAGAACATGAGAAAAACACATACAATTAGGATAAAGTGCCCTTCAGCAGCATCAATAAAGGCTAGAAGAGTCTGTAATTTTCCTTTCCTAAATGGAAGCTTAGCTTTTGGAACTTCAGAAATATTCTGAAGAGAAATAATAAAGTTTTATGATTAGCTTTCAAAAACACCACACAGTGATTTACAGCATTTTGTCACAGGGCATAGTTAAAGTAGTTTTAGGGTATGCCATTTCAGATGTTTCTACTTCATAGTATGTCGGCTCAAGTGTTAAGTTCTAGTGTACAGTTTACATGTCACCTAGTGACTCCCAGCGTTAATGTTTTCAGGAAAGCTTTCAACCAAGTATCTAATCAGGGTTGTACTTAGGAACTACAGGTTGATAAAATATGTATGCAGATAAGACCAGACTGAGTTCACTGAGGTCTACTAGTGCTCAACACCGTTGAAAATCTACCCAATATGAAAATAATTGTCTTAAGTGAGATCAATGTCTGCAAATCATTATTTAACACAAAGATTTCTGTCTTCATTAATTGCTTTATTTCTTTGACAACCAAATATTCTTCTATTAAATGTCTCTACAGAAACCCTTGCCTACTTATAATCACCTTTGACATTAAATGTTCTTGTGGTTTCTCTTTTTCTCTGATGTCTGTGTCCAAGAATCCAGAAAGCTGCATAAGGAGCTCTTCATACTTTCTGCTGATTTTAGAAGCTTGAGTCATGCTTTCTTCACAGTCATTCAAATATTTACTAATCAGACAGAAAAAAAATACACACATCAGGATGAATGTTCTCTGAAACAGAATTATAAAAATACATTATCCCCAGATTATTGCTAGTTTATGCATACCACAAAATGAATTTTTAGTTATATATAATTCTCATTTAACACATGTAACTTTTGTTGTTGCCTTACGTGTACACATTTCTCCATCTTTGCTTTTGATTAGCACTTTAAAGAATCTTTTATGATCCCAACCTCATTCTCAGCACAAGATTTCAATAAAACACAAGAACCAGGTAACGTCAATAAACAGTGCCCCCAAGAAACACACAGTGAGTGCAAACACAGTATGTAAAACAGCTACAAATCACTAAACAAAAGAGATGGCCCATGAAAAAAATTTCAGGTGGTGTCTTAGGAGGGAGATCAGCACAGTTGTTGTCAATGCTGCAAAGTGGAAGAGAGGGGAAAAATAACAGAAAGGAATGAAAAATATTAATTACTGCTCTGGTCAGGATGAGGACAGTTTCATGTGCTACTGCACAGTGCATATTGTGAGCCAAAAGAGCTCTGCCTTCTGCAGCAGGCAGTGGCCCTCAGAAAACAAGTGCCTTGCAGCTTTCTCACCTCCAGGCACCTTCCTCTGCTCTATAGCCCCAGCAAAACTAAGCTGTGAGATGGTTGCTAAAACACTGTCCTGAGGAGGAGTATGTCAGAAGTGAAAAGGTATGAGACCCCAGACATGTCATATATGCAGGCCTGTATGTTAGAATATTGCATGAGATTGACTGCCAACCCCGCAAACTGTTTTGTGGCTCTGAAAAATCGAGGCCTCTCACACACAGAACCATGCCTGCTTCTAAAATTAAACAATCTGAAGTACAAAGTACATACTTGACAACTCTACGAATAACCTAATTACCTTCAGTAGGGCCGTAAAGGTGTGAGCACCTAGAAAACTGGCAATCGGGTACAAAAAGTAGAATGCAGCTCTTGCACAGTTTTGCTGCCTCTTCAGAACTAATGAGCAAAGTGGAGAGGAAAAAGGAAAAAGGAAAAAAAAAAGCTTTTCACAGTTCAGGCTCTAAAAATACCTTGGCAATAGACCTGTTGAGTAGAAAAGCACCATTTTCAACAGGAGAGGTATACATCTTAGAAATCAATCACAGAATTCATTAAACATTTTTTACTATATCTGTATGTACAGAATGTAAATGTGCATTTCATGCCTACTGGCTTGCTCCTCCTTTTTCTTAATGGCTTTCAGTGAAAAATCTTTCTTGAATACCTAATTAGGACTGGTCGTGTGCCACGTGATACCAAGGTGGCCAGACTAAGTGGCTAAAGTTCATTAAGTTGATACACTGACTATTATTGCGTCTCATGTAACTATCAGCTGAGATGAGAAAAAGCTTTGAAAGCAAACCCTGTAGATTCATGATGAATTCAAAGTTTGTTCCTTCCAAAAGAGCAGACTCACCCTTTGTTTGTCCCTTCCCTTTTGCCAGTGCTCCACTGGTACACTCCAAGTGCACAGCAAACCAGACCTGGGTCTGGAAATTAAACTTTTTATTTCACTGACATCTCTCTTGGAGCAGTACCCTGGTCCCAATCACCATGAAGCAACACAAATGGAAGCGCTGACGCAATCATCATGGGCAAAACAGAGCAGCCAGCACCGCACTGGGAGAGACCATACACATTTATGCCACATAAAATTGATCATATCACTGTCATGATAGGCTAGGTTGATACACAGTATTTTGGTAGTTTCCTCCCAGTGAGTCAGGCAAACAGGATAGAAGGTTTTTCTTCCTTTTTTCTTCTTTTTTCTTTTTTTTTCCTCCTCCCCCAGAAGTAGCATTTTAAAAAAATCTTAACAACCATTATCTCAGAAACTCTGATGTTTTCTATGTTGCTAGGATGCACAGTACACTTCTTGGCTTAACTATCTCCTCACTTATATTTGGATCATATCTAAAATCTTTGGCGATCAACATCAGCACTCTCTAGGCAGGGCTTTTGACAAATCAGCTGCTAATAGACAAGTGCACTGTGATGGACTACTCTAGATTTCAAAATGACTTAATTATCTACTTCCAAAGCACAAAATCTTGAAGAGCTGTGCAAAATACCGGTTTGGGAAATACAGACTTCTGGTGAACACTCATCCTAGCTCTTAACTAGACAGTATTGAGAGAGACATGGATATTAGCCTTGTAAGAGTGGGAAAAAACCCATTAAAAAAATCTTTAAGATGTCTATTAATATACTATGACTGACACTGATTTTGGAATTTTAGAGTTCAGAATATTTTCATACCAATTAATTGTATTTGTGATCAACATCGCTATCAGCGTCCATCCCACAGACCTGAAATATTAGCAGAACTGACAGGTCAGTGCTCTGACACACTATGCTAAGAACAGTACAGTGGAAGATACTATATTTTATTAAAAGTTTTTTGCAATCAGTCTGCACATTAGAAAAAAAAAAGGCAGAAGAAAAGTCAGACAAATCTAACATTACTGAAAGCTGAACAAACCTTAACCAAACATTAATATGCTCCCTTCAGGATGATGCTAACTAGGAATTACACCATATTTTCTCTATTACACCACTCCTAACAGACAGCTTTACACTAAGGAAGAAATTAACTTGACACTGTTCCAGTTCCAGCAGTGACACAGAAGAGGGTAAAAGAGACTAGAGTGTTGCAGCAGTTCAGTCACTCACCACTGCATGGCCCATGCAGCATGTCAAGCAACAGGTAAATATCTGCAAAAGACACCATGTGAAAGGGACAGACCTGGGCACTAGATCCTAGTTGTAGGTACTGCCAGTCACAAGTGTGCTATGAAAGGCACAAAGTTTGCCTCAGTGTCATACATGGAAATACCTGAATGAGGAAACCATGCATACTGTTTCTACTGTGTTCAGAAAAACAGCCCTCTGTGCTCACTTTTTGTAAAAAATTAGGTTACATCAAGCTGACACATATAATCACTTCTCCTCTGAAGGACAAAATTCTCAAAACCCCATCTATGGGCTAACAACTCAGCCCAAAATCCAAATTACAATACCTCCCATGCACTCAGGTACATGGCTGTGCAAGACATTGTAACAGAATTCAGATCTGCAATAAAGTCTCTCCACCAACGTATTTTTCTGCATTGACAACTGCACCATTCTGTCATCCAAAACAAAAATTGTTTCTCATGGCACATGAATCTTACTTAAGTTTGGCATTTTGCTCATGAAGCTCCTCCTTCAGCTCCTGGTTTTCCTTGAATGCCACCTGAGCTGTCAGCTCAGCCTGGTTTTTAGAAGTGGCAAGCACACATGCCTCTTCCTCCACCTCCTGAATTCGAGTTTGCAAAGACAGGAGGCGAGACATCTGTCTAGCATTTCTTTCCTTGTAGCTTTCAGCTTCAGCCTTCAGCTCTTGAAAAGAGGCTTCTTTAGAGACCATTCCGGACCTGAGTTCAAGAAGCTATAGACAGAAAAGGAGAAAACTCATTTAAAAAGGAACAATAATTTTGCCCAGGCTGAAATATGTGACTGCACTAAAAGTTTAGTAATGTGACAAGAAACACATTTTGGAACGAAAGACTCAGTGTCTTCTATCACTACAAGACTAAGTGGAAGGACACAACTTTATTTTCATATAACTAGGAAAAAGCAACGGAAGAAAAAGGTTTGTAAAATCAAAAGCTGCTGTTGTGTAATCCAACACAACTTTTCAAGATAATTTCTTACAGGAAGATAAATGTATTTATTTACAAATATGGAATTTAGGAAAAGTCCACCTTAAGTTCTGCTCCGCAGCCTTAACTCACCTCCCTTATGCATCTGCATTATAATACAGTCATTACCACCATGTGTTGGGTTTGGGGAGGGGGGGGTCATTTTTGTTAGTGGGGGAAGGGGCCGCCTTGTGAGAAGCTTCCCAAAAGCTTCCCTGGCTCCAAGAGGTACCCCGCAGTCCAGGTTGAGACAATTATGCAAACCCGTATTTGTAAGGGGAAAGACTATCTTGAAAAGAAGAAGGTGGAGAGAACTTCACAAGAAAGACATGGATCAGTTAGAACGAGTCCAGAGGAGGCCACCAGGATGATCAGAGGGCTGAAGCACCTCTCCTATGAGGCCAGGCTGAGAGAGTTGGGGCTGTTCAGCCTGGAGAAGAGAAGGCTCCAGGGAGATCTTATAGCGGCCTTCCAGTACCTGAAGGGGCTACAGGAAGGTGGCGGGGGAGGGACTTGTTACAAGGGCAGGGAGTGACAGTACAAGGGGTGATGGCTTTAAACTGAAAGAGGGTAGGTTTGGATTAGATATTAGGAAGAAGTTCTTCACTGTGAGGGTGGTCAGACACTGGAACAGGTTGCCCAGAGAAGCTGGAGTGTTTAAGGCCAGGCTGGATGAGGCTTTGAGCAACCTGGTCTAGTGGAAGGTGTCCTTGCCATGGCAGGGGGGTCAGAACTAGATGATCTTTAAGGTCCCTTCCAACCCAAACCATTCTTTGATTCTATCATTCTAACTTGGAGGAGAGGCCATTGACCTGAACAAAAGACGACCATCGGCCTAAACAAAGAGAGAGCTTTGTTGACAGGAGGAAGGAGGAGGAGGGGGAGGACAGAGAACCTCAGACACCCAGTTCAACCGCATGGACTAGGAGAAGGCAAAGGAGGTCCCCTGCAGCCCATGGAAGTTCAACAGCAGAGCAGATACCCATGGAGGACACCATGCTTGAGTAGAAAGCCGAGCCCAAGAGCAAGTGTGATTGAATTGAGACCTCAGAATTGCTCAACACCAGAGCCGGGGTGGACCCCCAGAGCTGGGTTGTGAGGAGGTGCGCTGGACCAGAGGACATTCTGCAGCCTCTGGATGTCCCCATGCCCGAGCTGGGAGCTGAGCCCGAAGAGGTCCATGGCTCCATGGGACACTTGCTCTGGAACATCTTGTTCCTGGACTTTGAGCGGCAATGGTGACCTGACTGCAATCCCCATTCCCTGACCCCTGTGCCGCTGTGGGGAAGAAGGTAGAGAAATCAGGAGCAAAGTGATTTGAGGCTGGGAAGAAGGGAGGGGTGGGGAAAGGTGTCTTAAGATGTGGTTGCTGTGTCTCACTGTGCTACTCAGATGATTGGTAATTAATTAAATTTCTTTTTCTTCCCAAATTGAGTCTGTTTTGCCCGTGACCATAACTGGTGAGTGAGCCATCCCTGTCCTTCATTCTAATCCTGTGCCCCCTTTGTTGTGATTCCCCTCCCATCTCACCAGGTGGGGGGAGTGAGTGCAGGACCACCTGGTGCTACTGTGGGTTAAACCACCACACACCGTTATTCCCTCAATTTGCCCGCCTCTTCCCTGCTCCCACTTCTGGTGCACAATTCCACAGACAATCTGTAGCTGTGGGGAGTTGTAACAGCAAAGTATCCTGTTGTATGAAGATGGAGCCTTTTGATGGCAGCATATTCAGAGGCAAATACATTTTCGGAGATTTGTGGTATAGGCAACATCTTCTCAGCTTATGCAAACAGCTATTTTGATAATCAAATCAAATGTAGCTAGATTTACATAGAAACAGCAAGAAAGCCTTTTAAGGAAGGCTGGGAGGAGGAACATGACCAGAAGTCAAGGACCTGGTCCAGAGATTATGCTAGAGCTTCCCAACAATTCATGGAGTTCAGTTGTTTTTCTTTACTTTCCCCTCTCTCTTTTTATCAAAAATATCATTTTCCATTGAGCTGTTTCTGCTACAACCTTCTCTAAAAGGCTGATCTTGAGGCAGACACACCAGGCTCATAAAATTTCAGTCTGTTTTTTTTTTTTTAAAAGAAATTAATAATTTAAAGTGCATTTTTTGTCACAACAGTCTTAAGGCATGTTTCAGCTTTCTTGACAATTCCAATTATAAGCAGCAAGATACAATTCAAAGCATTTCTCTCATGCTACATAAAATTAACAGGCAAATAATTAAGCCACATAAACTGCTCTTTATGATGTGTGCTAGGGCTTTTAACTTGTGGCAAATATTTTAAGGCAATAAATACTTAAGACATTAAGCTGCAATTCAGGACACCAGGAAATTCACGGCTCTGCCAAAGGTGACCAAACCCAAGACACTCAGAGAAAATCCAGGAGGCCAGTGAGCCAACTGAACCATGACTGCCTTGGAAAAGAGAGGTCTTGCTTCTCCTGCTCCCATCCACACATGCCTGTCCTCTCCCTTGCACCAGCTCTGGTATTTGTCCAACTCCTCCACAAACAACTGAACTAACACAGCTGACAGAAAAGAATTCACTTTCTACAAAGAAGGAGGAGGAAGGGGAGCTGGCCACATCACAGAGAAAAGGCTAACACCAAGGAGTCAGGTAGGAGGATCACTCTTGAAGCAGCAGTACATTCTCAGATGAGTTTTATGCTTCACCTGCAAGCACTGTTTTTTCAGACACTTTGGAGCTGACATAAAGCAGCTCTGATTTTGAGAAAAGCATCTTTGCTCTTTCCCAAGCTCATGGACTTCATTCCCATACTCCAGCCTAGCAGAAGCATTTATATAGCTACTTATATGGTGAGATAAGGTTGGGAAACTGATCCAGCTAAAAAACTACCCAGAAGGAGAGGCTTTATTTTTCAGTTGCATCAGTTCCCCAACAACACAGTGCACTGTAAAACTACACATACATCTGTGCTAACACAAGGGATGGGGCAGTGTGGGGAAGGAAATGAGCAGCTGAAAGAACAATAGGATTGCTTTGCTTGGCAGCTGGACCAAGCTATGGTAGGTTAAAGCATTTGAAACCTTAAAATTTCTCTGTGGTTCAACTCCCCATCTGCAAAATGTGGTATTTTTTCCTCTGTCCATTGTCCCTGTGGTCAGTTCCAATAGCAGAAAAAGCAAGAATAATCCCATAGCATGAGTTTTACAGAGTACTCAGCAAAACAGGGCTCTGACCTCAGCTGGGTCATGAAAGTCATTATTAACAAGAGCATGAACAGCTGCTTTCTTGACTGTTCATTTGCTTTTGCAAGTACAGTGCTGAAAGAATCTATAAATCAGTCAGTTATCCTGGCAATAAAGCCATTCAACATTTCCAGTAATAAATTATTTCTATGAGAACATGAGATTCTGCACGGCTTTTTAGAATTGAAATTTAAAGTATGGATCCTGGATAGCCATTAAATGTAGGGGATCTCTGCAGTAATTTCAGAATCAACTGGTCATATTCAAGCTTACACGATGGACACTCACCCCTGTAGTTCTGACTGGATACTGCATTAGCAATTCATTCTCAAACAATATTACATGTTCTTGCTGTTTCCCATACTCAGCTATCCACAATTAAAGAAATTTGGTTTCATTGACAGAGCGTTTTTTAATGTTCAGGTGCTAGGCAAGTATATTGCAAAGTACTTTATAACGTGCAATTGAAATACACATTTGTAAAATGTGCTGATGTTTGAAGTACTAGTTGGATGAATGTTCACAAGTTTCTGTTGAACTTTACATATCTATGAATATTTATGAATTTATGCATCTAAACCTATATACGTAAATAAATGCAAGCACTTCATGTCTCCTAAAGGCAAATTTGATTCCTTTTTAAAACTGACCACTGCCTGCATTGCTGAATTTGATCAAATCAATCTTATTCAGTCATATGGTTTTTTTTAAAAAAAAACTGAAAATATAGACACTCCAAAAATTATCCTCTAGTAAATCCTCTCTCCTAAGAACCACCATTCCGCATAGCAGGGACAGCAGAAAAGGATGTGTATGTGTTCCTCAGCCTCTCTAGTTACAATCAATCACAATTTCACTGGCGATGAAAGCAAAGCAAATTTGGAGAGCTGGAAATAGGTGAGGCTATCTTAACTTACCAGCAACAGGAGGACATCTATCAGACCTTTTATACAACCACGATTTAGAAATATTAACTTTCAGGTTTAATTACAAAGATTGCATTTAGATGATGATGATGATGATAAAAAGCTAGACTGCTTCAAATCTTTCCAATATAAGTTCATAATCAGTTCTTGAACATAAAAGCGAGCAAAGTAAAAATAGCCTGGACAAGTCTATGTTAGGAGAAACAAAAGTTCTGTATCAAAAGCAAGAAGTTTTGGACTTTCTGAAAACTTTCTATTTTCTTCAGAAAGTGACTTTAGAGAATTCTCAGGTTTGGAGAAGGATTTGGAAGTATTTTTAAACGTACCTCTGACTGGGCACAATCATACTTCACCAAAAGTGCTGCAAGTTCACTTTGAGCAGTTTCAGCTGCAGCTCGATAGTGAATCATCCGCTCTCTAGTGACAGGAATATCCAAAAGAACGTGATCATGAGATTCCTGGGAAGACAGCATGAAAACAAAACCATTAGACACTGCATTTTTTGAACATTTTTGCTTCAGTGCTTTTTGTTTGATTATGCTGCTCAAGGGCATCTATTCCAAATACGTTATTCCCAGAGTAACTGACCCTTACTGGAAAACAGGATAAACAGTCACTACCAGTCATCACTTTCACAGTGATATCTTGCACATAAGATATTCCCCCTCAACAACCCCATGGCCTCCCACTATTTTCAGCTCAGGCTGTTTCCTGTAGTTTTAGCAACATTCAAAAGGTCCCTCTTCTACAAACTTATCCAGTCACTCCTTCAACGCACATAAACTTTAATCCAAAGGGAGTCCTTAGGTATCTCTTATGGAAAAAAATACTTTGGGTTTTAGACTTCAGTTACATTGCACAACCCCTCACTTTTATGTTGGAAGAAATGGTGAAAAAAAAGCAGTGGCCATCAACCCTCTCCATGCCACTCATGATTTTGCAGATCTCTATCATATTTCATCTCTACTGTGTCTCTACCAGCTTGAATAGTCCATGCCTACTCAGACATTCCTACTTGCTCCTCAGTCACTTTTTCACTTGCCTGCTTGTGCTTTTACTTCTAATCTGCCAAGATTAAAGGTCCTTTTGAACTCAACCACTTGGACATAACTTTACCTTTCTGAATCATGCTTTCCCATCACCAGCAATCACCATACCAACTTCCTTTCACCCTTTTTCAAGACCTTCTGATAGAAGGCAAGCACAGGCCCTGGGCTTCTAGCGCAGTCTCCTGCACACCACTTGTACAACTCTTTTAGCTGTGCCTTTTAGATTCTTTATAGTAAGTTCTGTCATTCTTGTGTGGTTCTGCTCTTCTACAGTAGAGCAGATATGCATTGAATTTCTTGGTCTTTGCTACTTAAATCTTTCAATATAAAAATTCAGACCTGAGGTCCTGATAGAAGTTTCATCAGAACATTTTTTTCAATTGATTCTGACTACACCATGATGAAATCTAACATCTTCAGTACAAGGCTGAGAACACATGTGGCAGAGGACAGAGCATGAGATTTTCATTCTATCAGCTCCCTTACAGGACAAACAAAACCGCAATCCTAGTGTATTTAGGCATACATTACAAAAATGCAAATTTCCCCCACTCATGACTGCTGTTGAAACAATGGAGACAGAGACAAGATGTCTTCACTTCATGCTCTTCTACATCAGGTTGGTTCCAGGCCGAGATAAATTACAAGTTTAGCTCCTACCTATTCTAAATAGAAAAAAAAAAAAAATGAACAGCTTTCTAAATAGGCGAACATCTTGTAAAATAAGCCTCTACAAATAAATGCACACAGAAATCCCTGGGGAATAAGGCAAAACTACTAGTTTGGACTGTAGCAGAAGATAAATTACCTCAGATTAAGTTTTTTTAATATCGTCAGCTCTTTTCTTTAATCTTCCTTCAGCGCACTAGTACACACTGGATTAGAGCCATCAAGTTTAATTACATTCATCTCCCTCAAAGACACTCAGCTTTGCTCTTTTACAAAGGAGTTGCCACTCTCATCAAGCCAGATGCACGTCGTACAGCTCACAGCCATGTACAACACAGCACACAATCTCCGAGATAAAAGGGCTGCTAATTTTCTCAACACTTTTATCACCATTCTGAGGGAGTGAGGGAAGGCATGTGCCGTCTCTTTGCCACTTTGTCTTCCTTTTTGCTTTACTCCACTTGTTTCACATTGTACAATCACACACAATTCTTTGATGTAGAGGGTTTTGTTTTGTTGTGTAGTACACCAGGGCTCCAAAACCATGTCTGGCACTTGCAAACAGTGACACTGTGTATGTTACTTATGTATGTTATTATATTTACATTTCTGTATTGATGTATGTTTTATTTTCCTCCCCTAAACAAACACAACCACTTCTGATGCTATAGAAAGATGGAATACACCTCAAAACTGATGAAATAAAAAAATTTCAGAGCACAGCTGAAGAAAGAAGCCCCCTGTTCAGCAGCAATAATCAACATAAGAAAGCCCCTTACAGATGGAACTTCTGAAAACTACATTTGTCATACAAATCTAGATTTTAAAATTATGAGCATTTTCAAGATACAGATACACATCCAGAAGGATTTAAAAGAGGTTTAAATGAAGCCAGGTGCAAAAGTCTGAATGCCTTCTTTGCCTCTGTCTACTCT